TAATCTCGACAATTTATCGGTATTGTGTAATGAACAGCTGATTCTTTTTTCGTCTGAAACCATGCACAAAATTTTCATTTAAGCGGATAAATAGATTATTAATTTAGGACCAATTAGATAAATTGAGCATAACACTAAGATCAATTGATTATATTTGAAATTAGAGACGATTCATGGAATATAATTCATCGTCACATGAGAAGTAAAATGTTTTTTTTTTGATTATTCGATGCACCTATATATTCGGTTCTATATATATATATATCATAAAACTAATTTATTATAATGAAGATATTTTAAAAACATATAACACGATATATGATATAAAACAAAAAAGCAAAACTAGATATTAAAAGAAATAGCTATACAAATAAGGATAATAATCTAAAACAAGATAGCTATACAATGAAAACGGAATAACAATGGATAAAATTTTACCAAAATAAACCAAATAGATAAACCAAAACCTCAAAATTAAAACCAAATCTAAACCTAAAAACCAAGTCCAAGCCACAGCCGAGAATCCGAACAAGTCCTCCTCTTTAACCAAGTAGAGACGGGAAAATTTTCGTCAATTTTTTTTTAAATATTTTCATCAAAAACACGAACAGTGGAAGGAAAGACACGGGAATAAAGCAAGGGAGTGGAAGATAAAGCCAAGAACTCACCAAAAACGCGATCCAGGTAGATATAAAGGCGGTAAATAAGGGGGAAATAGAGATATAAACATTGACTTTGATACCTGTCCTTGGAACTGTATGTATTTTCGTCGTTATTTTTGTTTTCCTTCCTTTATCATCGTTCATTTGCCTCTCATTTGTCTCTCTTCATTCGCCTTTCATCTGATTTGTGTTATGTTCACTGGATTTTTATTTATATATATATAGTGTTCTCAACGTATTTCAGTTAACAAATATGTTTGTTTTTGGGGGATGTTCTTTTCCATTTAATTTCCCTCTCTCTCTTTCTTTCTCTTTCTCTCTTTCTCTCTCCCTCCTTTTCTCCATCTGTCTCTCTCTCTCTCTCTTTCTCCATCTCTCTCTCTCTCCCTCTCTTTCCTCCATCTCTCTCTCTCTCTCTCCTCTCCTCTCTCTTTCTCTCTCTTTCTCTCTCCCTCTCTCTCTCTCTTTCCTTTCTTCTCTCTCTCTCTCTCTCTCTTCTCTCTCTCTCCTCTCTCTCTCTCTCTCTCTCTCTCTCTCTCTCTCTCTCTCTCTCTCTCTCTCTCTCTCTCTCTCTCTCTCTCTCTCTCTCTTCTCTCTCTCTTCTCTCTCTCTCTCTCTCCTCTCTCTCTCTCTCTCTCTCTCCTCTCTCCCCCCCCTTTCATAACCATCTTAGTTTAACCCAATACTGCTGGTATATTTTGAAGCCGAAAATAAAAAATTCCCGCTGGCTACAACATCAGCGCGTGCGGCTGGCCCGGACTCAACCCACGGCGTGTTGCTGCATCGGAGCGCGAGCCCCGATATGGTGTTACACAGGCGGGACACCCAGCAATGTTTATTATTTTGGGTGTCTCATACATGGGACACCCGTCGTTACTGGGTTAATATCTGACCCCATCAAATGCCCCAAATGCTGAAAAAAGTGATTAAAATCGAAGCAGTCCAGATGGTAGAAAGAAGCGAAGGAAAGTTTGACGATTTCATATACAAATGTATTTGGTTTATTATTTTACGGTGGGAATGAATCTGTATCGTGCCATGTATATCGAGGCGAAGGGAATGTTTCCCGGGTTGGTGTTGGAGGGCGGAGCTCCCATCAACCTTCCTCTCGGGTGGGTACGTCCGTAGATTTTCATCGGTCAGTTTGAAGTCTTTTTTGGGCTAGTTTTACGCATTTTTGTTCACTATTCTTCTTATTTTATGCCAGTTTTATGCATATCTGTTCACTATTCTTCTTAGCTATGCCTGTTTTACCCCATAATTTCCCTGATATACTTCATGCCCTCCCCTGCTAACGGGTCTATCAAATCAAGATCGTCGATGGAGAAATGGTTCTCGATCTCCTCAACGATTCATTTGCGGAAGAAACAACGCTGAAAATTGATGAAATCATCGGATTTCCTGTAGAAAAGTTTTTTTTTTTTTTTTTTTTTTTTGACTTAGTCTCTGGGAGGGTGTGTCACTATTAGTAACAATTATTGTGGATTGAAATTTGAATAATTAACCCCAAGCTGCCGGGCATGGCTTGTACGTACATGCCGTTGCCCATTGTGTGTGTTGAATTTAGTAATTATTTTTACATGTAGATGGCTCCACAATTACGCAAACTACCTGTCTAACCTGTTATTCCTTTTCCTTGATTTTCGATGATATTTTCTAATATTTAATATTGCTGTTAGTAATGTCTGTAACAATATAGTAATCACAATGTTTATAACAAAAAGAACAACGTCAATATTGATAGCATGAGTAAAAAAAACGTTTTTCCCATTTTTTCAGGGAAAAGTGAGGTCGCAAGATATACTAATTGAGTCCTTTGTGGCTAAGCATTGGCAGAGCCATCTATGTGCAGAAACATTTAACCAAGCATTGCCGAAGGGAACACACCATTTTCCCGTTGACATTGGGTTAATTTTAGACAGTGATTCTGTATAATGGATTGAGACAGTTTTGGCATCCAGATATAGAGAAATTATTGCGCTGAAACAACCCAAACCCGCACATTCTTTTTCCTTGTTAGCATGGTAGGGCATGGAAGGAAACAGGGAAATTGCCCGGTAAAATATCCACAGAATCAAGTCATTGTGGATAATAGGCTGTTGGCTTCCATTCGAAACAATTTTGATATCTATTTGCTGGAAATCCAATGATTTTGACAATTCTTGGCGTTGTTTCTTCCGTGAATGAATCGTTGAGGAGATCTGAGTACCATATCCATCAACAATCTTGATTTGTTAGAAGCGATAGCAGGGGAGGGCATGACTGATATGCGATAAATTATGGAGTAAAACAAGCTTAAATAAAGAAGAATAGAGAACAGAAATGTTCAAATCCATCGCCAAAAAATGCTTGAATCGGCTAATGAAACTCTACGGCCGTGCCTGCCATCTTTGAAGCTCTACAGGAATCCAACCCATCGTTTCACAAAATCTACAGAAATTCCACCCTTCTACCCCCCCCCCCCTGGAAAAAAAAAAAAAAAATTCCCGACCAGTAAACCGATATTCTAAGTTGCTATGACGAGGCGTGTCGGGGTTGATGGTAGGCTCTGCCCCCAACATTCCCGGGACACATTCTCTCACCTCGTATGTACAGCCAGAAAGCTTCATCCATACTGTAAACAATATACCAAGTACCTTGATGTCTCGAAACACCGAACTTTCCTTCGCGTCTCTCGTTCCCTTCTCTCTACTGTGTGGTTTGCTTCGTTTCTAGATATATTTTTTTCAGCTTTTGGGGCACTTGATGGGCTCAGCTATCAAATTGCG